TGTCCCATTTCAGCACAGCCTTTGTGGTCCGCGGAGGCTACATCGAGTGCTGCAGCCTTCGCAGCCTTCGAAGGACTCGGCCTTCGCAGTCTTCGAAGGCTACAGCCCTCGAATTGGGACACGGCTACTGTGAAGTTTTTGTACAAAAGTATGGTTATCTACTGTCTTTCTCAGAAGCCTTATTTTTGCACATTACTTCATTTCTTTTGCCATCATGCAAAAAAACAGGGCTATAATTTCTATGATTTCTGCAAACCTTGCTTAAAACATCTTAATTGCCGCCAGACCCATTTTCAACTGTCCCTGAGTAGAACATGTCTCTGATTATTTTCCACTCTCTGCTGCTGTCCCTTGACATCCTGCTAATTTGAAAATCTTTTCTTAATTAGCACATTATGCAACCTGATTGTTTACGGTGTGATTTTTGTTTTTCAGTGGAGATTTGGAGGCCCTGACAAAATACCCACAACCCCTGGTGGTGCTGGAATCCATGGTGACGGCTGTGCACAGGAGCGTACAGACTGGGTAGGTATAACTACAGGGGCTAATGCTTGACTTGTGCTAACCTCTTGCAGCTAACATTAATCATTGTTCTAAGTGTGTTTCTAGTGAGTAGAGGGGGATGTAGTTTCTACAGTTTCTACTACTATAAATACGTGACAGCTTCTCAGTCATGGATGTAAAAGTCAAGTTTCTCAGCTCACAGCTCTTCTGAAATGAACACATCCAGTGTCAAAACTCAAAAGCTAAGATAGTGTCTGTTTACTACTGGTTGACTTGTCTGTCACTTGGCTGAATGAGAGCGTTGTGTTGTTATCACAGAATCAATTATTTACAGATTTGTACTGCTTCACTTATTAGAATAACAAGGATTTTTAAATGGCATAGCAATGAATTTTGTAGTTAAAAATAGGGATGCACCAGCTTTCCCAGTTCCTATACAGTTTCAGATGCAGATACTATAGCTTTAAGTATTTACAGAGAGATAAATACCATTGATTTCCTTTGAACAAAAATAAGGCAAAACTGATCAAAATGCATTATGTAGCTGTTATTTATCCATCAAGTGACAACAGAACAGCTGTTGTTTTGTTCAACTACAGCTAATAAATAGTGATATTGCATTGATTTATAGGTTAAACCAGGATATCAACTCATTTGGAAGCCAATAGCCGATGCAACAAATTTTTCAGGATTAGTGCTGACCACTATCGGATTGGTTCATCCATAGTTAAAAAACATTTTCCTTTGTCTAACCTTTAAAGAATTACAGATCAAATTGATAATGCATGTTTAATGGTTTGAGGTTACGTACATTCTGTATGATGGAGAAATATTCCCAGAAAATTTGCTGAATGTCGCTTCCCACCCTTCACTGTCGTGCTTACATCTATCCAAGCCAGATAATCTTATAAGGATTTAACCTACAGAGTAAAATGGAAATTACAACAACAAGGGCAAATACAAAACTACATTTTACCCAAAACTAAACTAGGGCTTAACTGTCTAAAAGCAGCTTACCCCGAGTGCAGCTCTACAGTAGTTACTACCCTTTAATGTGAGATATGAAAGGCTTGCGGAACTTGTTTTATTATTTGCATCAGCTTGGCCAGACGTCGGACTTATCTTGTAATTGGTGTTTCGCTGTGAATCTGAGTAGGATTTTCAAGGGATAGAACTAATAGGCACAGATTAAACAGGCTCTGGACCGCAGCTGTTATTTGAGACAATACAACTAATCAGATAAATGGAGCATTGAAGTAGACCTGCTGGATTTTGGTAAACAATGTAATTAGTTCAAAAAAATGTTATTACGCAAAATTTACTCTTGTGGGCTTTATGTCATGGTAGAATGTTGTTACCTCATCAAAAACATACTTGGAGTTGCATTTTGTTTCATTCACACAAATCTGAGTAACGATTTATTATTAGTCTCTCTACATTTAGTTTTCAAGTTAACAGATAACCTTTACCTTTAGTTCAGTAAAGATTGACATATCCAGGGCTGAAATTATCCAAAAGATTCTAGTGACTGTGTAAAGAATGTAAAAAAAACACAGTGGAGCACTTCCTGTATTACCATATGACATCCCAAGGTAGAACAGAGTGTTTTCTGTTTGAGAGAAGAACTCAGCCTAAATATGCAGTGTGTTATGTCTTAAACATATATCAATGAAACAAAACAGAACTCCAGATATGTCTTTGATGAGGAAACAACATTGTCACATAGAAAAGTGTAATATGGGCTCTTTAAATCTCACTTTACTGTACAACCTTCTTTGCACCGCTCACTCCATACATCCCCGGCTCTTTCAGCGACAGTGATGTGACCTCAGATGACCTCTTGGCCTGGCTGCGTCCCTTTTGTGGAGACTCCACTCTGCCCGTTCCCCCTCGCATTGCCGTGCTTCAGATTCTCGAGAACAACTTCAGCCTTAAAGACAGCGACGTCAGACTCCTGCTTCTGTACAGGACCCAGGCTGTGCTTAAAGACAGAGAGGTACACTTTACACTTAACATACTCTGCACGTCAACCCTCAACAATCCATTTAAAGCACTCTCCAAAACAGCTCATGTCAAGGAGTGGGAACGGCAGAAGCTAGAGTGTGATACAAATGTCTGTGTATTTGGTTTTCTTCTACAAGGTCATAACATCAGAAAATATCCACTATAAATGTTTAAAAGGTGCTACAAACTGATGGGTGCTGAGAGGAGAGGTAAGAGCCATGAAAACAATACCAGGATGTTGAAATGGAGTGCAGTGGGTCTTAAAGATAAATGCTCTTTAAGCTTGATATTGGGAGTGCATGCCCTTTCTTGTATCTGTAGTTTATTTGCCGTATTGTAATTTGGTTAGTAGTAGAAGCAGAAATAAAAAATTGTAAACGTTGAAATCTATTTTTAAACCATTTCCCTAGTTTTACGCAAAACGCTGCTTTACTTTTTTTGCTTTTCTGTCAAAATATTTGCCACTTGACCAGAGTATGCTGCCAAAAATCTAAAACATTTTGACAGTTGTTGTTTCGCTAAAAGCAATATGACAAATTGGTGACCCAGTAGTCACTGTGTTCTGTTTTAAATACCAGTCAATACATTTGTAGAACTTGGTCAAACAAAGAGGTCAAAAACTTTTATGACTAAGATCTTGTAGTGTGGACTACTGAGACATTTTCTGAAGCGGTGCCTGCCCTGTGATAGACCAAAAATAATTGAGGAAGTTCTGTGTAACTTCAAATATTACTTTAAAGACTTGGAAAATTGAATCTCTTTTCTGTCTTTCTGCCATCACAATGATCTGCTGTATGAACTTCCGAACAGTTCAAAGATGAGGTGACGCCTTCTTTAGTGCCTTCCTCGGGCCCTGAATGAGCCCCCCGATTGAATTACAGTAGGTCTCCATTATTCTCTACGCAATAACTGAGCTATTTTAATTGAATTATTTGAGTCATTTTAAACCTTCTTTTTCTCTATACATTATATTCGTTCATCATCTGGGGTCAGTTCATTATCAGTTATTGAAACATTTTCACATACATTTCCTAACCCGTGTTCTTTAGTGCCTTGTGTGTTGGCAGTGCACCTGTGCCAGTCCCCTCTTCTTCCCAGGTGTAACCCCGCATTGAGTGGCTAGTCATTAAGTTTCTTGACTGACTAATTAATGGCCCTAGCTTTGTAATTAATGTGTAAATGTATGCACAGCGCCACAGGCTATTGTCAGCACAGGTAGACAGGTGTGTGGGCCCGGACGCTTTAACTAATTGGGTGCTCTCCCAACATTTGGCAGCCTCTGATGAAGCGCACTTGGAGACACACACGTGCTCTCTTAAGGGACTGTGCGTCGCCAGCATCAGTTAATTAATCTGGTAAAAAGAAGTCGCTCCTCGTTTTTGATTTCACTTCTTCTGCTTTGTCCCCCCGGAGGCTACAGAAAGGTCTTCAAATCAAAGTGTGGCTTGAGGTTGCGTGATATCTTTAATGTTGCGTGGGATCGACTCGTCATGTTTGTACTTTCACATACAAAGTCCAGTTTTTTATTTAATCTCAACTCGTAATTGGTAATCCTAACTCCTAATTGGACTATTGCTTTATTGTTGGTTGTGTTCCTCAGAGAGCTGAGCAGATTCGGCTCTGATGGTGCAGTGTTAGTGCCTGAAGCCATGCCTCACACTCAGGTATGGCCTACTGTGACCTCATCATATCATTTTACAGCTGGACACTGAGGCCCAAAGCAGAATTAGTGTTTGCTCTGTGTTCTAGCCACTGTTGTATTATTTTTCCAGTCATTTTAGCTCCTGTGACTAATCAGTGCAGATCCCCAGTGTATCCCACCGGCTCTACACTACACTCTACAGTACACTGTATATCTCTATCCACAACTACAGGCTTAGTGCACCTCCCAAACACACACACATATTACAACTATAAAACCACTTCCTGCTGCGATTTCCATGACTGTACCATCTCAAAGTTTACCATGAATCAGATCCCAGCTGTATGTTAAACTCCACATTTCCTCTCATCTCCTCTTTCCGCCACTGTCTGTTTGCTGTTGCGACAAAGGCGTCTGATTAGCAGCACCATCTGCGATCAAAGACATAGACAAAACAGCTATATGTGCTAACACTAGCGCACGCCACCTTCCTGTCACTGCAAAAAGACAGTTTTTCCTAATCAGGTATGAAGCTGCTGTCAGTGACATCACCCAGGAAACAATGTTACACAATAATGAGATTTGAATCAAGCTTTGATCAAAGAAATGAAGTTCATATCTGATTGTGCTGTCTGCACTGTCACTGGGATGTGAAGTGTGACTTGCTCTTTGTACTTCTCCTCTTAATATCCTCAATGCACAATACTGCTGATAGAAACTGTAAATCTCACTAGATATGAATCAATGGTTGTTTTCCACCAAGGGCAAAACAACTATAGTCAAACAAAACCTTAACTTTAAATGAGGTGTTGTTATATATATACTTTAAAGAGTGACAACAACATTCTTCATTTAACTATAATGGTACTTGTAATACTTACCATTTAGCCTATATAAAATGGATGCACATCACTGATTTAAAATAAAATGCCACTGTGCAATTACAATCATATACCATCTACCAAACTATCTAGCCAAACTATCAAATATTTGACACTTACTGTTGCCATAACAAAAGCAATAGTCCCCATATATTTATGTGAGGTCTTTAAAAACCTCATCATAAACACATCTTTTTAGTCTCTTCATAACTATGTAGATTGCTGTCTTACAAGGTGTGAAATTCTGACTTATGGTACACTAGTAATTACCTCTTTGACACTTGTATTACTCGCATGTATAATTCTGTGACTGTACCCTAAACTCTTTACATCCACTATTTTCTGCTCTAAAATGTGTTTGTAAGAAGGTGGTATGAGCTTGTGTGTGGGCATTGTCACTGTGTTCATTCTGTGGCATGGACTTGTGAGCTCCCTTGACCGTGAACACTGACCTTTTGGTTAAAGAGCAAATTTAAATTTCCTGCAAATAACAGGAATAGTATGGTTCATATTTTTGAATTGGTACAAATTAGTATGCAGCCTTTATGTGAAAATGAGCTCTCATTGTCAGAGGAGCTGGGGACGTACACGAGACACTTAAAGGCAGAAACCAGTCAATCAAACAGTTCTTTTACCAGTAACAGCAGTCTATTTGTGATTTTATGTACATATATTGTAACTATTGTAACTTTTCTGTTAGGGGCCACTCTCCATGGAGATTTATTACAGTACAGCATTTAAAGGGCCCATATCACACATGTTTAACACACAAATCCTGCATATTTAGGAGTTAATAATAATAAGTACTAATAAGTCACCTATCTAGCATTCATATCTCAGCTTCATTTACAGGCCAGCCTCTGCTACATGCTAGTGGCTATGCTAGTGCAGTGCCCTCTGTGGGGGTCACAATCTAATGATCACAAACCAAAGGTGATTTATGGGACAACTTATTCCCCTCCTGTCATCGTCATGGATCATTTGCTTTGACACAATGTTCACTGTTGTGTGCTCTCTGGGTGTTAGGCCTCATCTGATTTAACTACACAAACAAATGCACTTCTGTCTCATTATTACTTTAATGTTTATTTATTTATTCAAATTCAAATTGCAAACGCTACTTACTGTGAGCAGGGTCGCCTCTCCACAGACCTGACTAGCAACAACTTGAAATAATGTGTGTGGGAAAAGAGAAGGTCATGATTTATATACTCGAGAAACATATTGCCTCCATTGCTCATCCAAGAGTCCTATCTGTGTAGTATCTATGGTCATCTGTAGCCCCAGTGGCAGTTTGCTATGTCCTATTCATTCCGATGGACATTTCCGTATTTGCGCCTGTCGCAGAAAGAGACAGAGGGCTTCATGATGGATGCTGTTTTGGGCTGGTGCTGTCCAGAATGGGTCAGACCAGGCCATGTCAGCCAAAAGGCCAGTGGATGATTCACAGCCCCTGCTTCCTACAAACTCCCTGATAATGGATCAAAGAGGAAACGGAGCAGAGGAATTATGGAAGAGAGAGATAGTTGAAAATAATGACGGATCGGAGGGACAAAAGAAGAAAGATTTTGAAAAGAAAGTATTGAAATTGAATAAGTAGGAGCTGCCAAATATTTACCACCTCACTAAATCACACACTCTGTAACCTTAGCGTCCCAAAAGTCTGCAGACTCACAGAGGAGCATAAAAAAAGAGCATTTCAATTCAGCTCATTAATACAAACCTGACATTTAGGCAGTGAGGGAGGAGGCAGGAGGAGGTGAGGCCACTCATAGATTTTGTGACTTCATTTTGAATGATTAGTCATAACAGGCCAGGGTCCAAATGTCACCCCTGTCGAGATTAGAGCCTCTGTTTGATCTGTGTGCGTCTGGCATTTAGCCTTTTGTCACTCGTAACACTTTATTTTAGAGTGGTCAGTCATGTCAATCATAGACTTAAGATGTGCATGTGGGGGATTTTGAATATAAGAAATCCACATGCTAAAAGTACAGCTCAGGGTTGTGCCCAGTAGTAAACAGGGTTATCAAAAGTAAATCAGATGCAAATTGATAATAAAACTAGTATCAAAACTAGATACTCATTTGAGCCAGTATCAATGCTAAAAAAGCTATAGGATAGAAATTAACCTCAGAATGGTCTTGAGCTGTATCAGAGCAAGTATAAGACCACATAGACTAGTATACACCCATGAACCACTATGGATCATACCTAGAAGACACAGATATAAGGACACATATGTGAGAATATGATAATATGATTTAATGCTGAAAATTACATTCTATTGCCTAAACTGCTTTTTATAGTATTGGTATTGAGTATCGAGTCTATTCCTTAGCATTGAAATTGAGTTTGAAATTCTAGTATTATAACAACACTAGTAGTAAATCATTTTTAGCATTGCAGATTTTAAGATCCACCTGCTTGTCTCAGTTGAGATGTAATTGCTTGGCCAGGAACATATTTTCA